TTCTCCATCCTTTCTGGGAAAACAAAATAGAATTGAAAAGATAAGCCCATTCAAGGAGCAAAGAGCAGAGCTTGGAGTTCTGAAGCCCAACAGTGCTGATGGCCCATTTTTAAAACTAATGAAGCACTACAGAGGCCTGAGTTTATTATTGCTTTATCCCAGTTCAGCCCAGGCTAAGGCTATGGTGAAGTCCAAATTAATTTAAAGCCAGAAAATGCAGATCCAGTAACAGCACCTAAGTCCCCATCCACACATGGGTGTAAACAGATACTTTTGGTGAAGAAAAAACAAAACAAACCCTCCCAAATTTCCCCTCTTCCTGTGCTATGCAGATCCCCGTAGAAGGGCTAGAATTTGCCCTAACTATAAAACAGATTCTCTCATACCTCAATTAGGTGAACCCCTTCCAAATGTTTCACCTTTTATTCAAACTATCCTGGTGATGCACCAGCTCAGAGATGCCTCATGGTAGCTCACTGAGAGGCACACAGGTATCCACATGTTAAAAATGTGGCACAGAGTCTAAGAACCATGGCCTATACTCTGTAATACCCAAGGGCACTTTGCCCTCAGCTTCCTGAGACCGAACGGCACAGATGGAAGACGGTGTCTCTCCACCCTGCATGGCTGGCCAGTGATCCAGAGAAACAGCACACTGGGCAAAGGAATGGCACCTTACTCCCACTGTAAGTCAGAAAACAGACTTGGGTAAAGCGAGGCTTAAAAGTTTCACATCAAGAAAGACGGTGCTTCCCTCACACTATTGTATGATAGGGCAAATGCTGTTCAGGCAAACATTATTCAAGGCAGCAAATTTTTAGCAAGGATATTGCCATGGTTGACTTACAGGCCATGATATGCTAGGGATCTTAATAAAATTAAAGGTCCTGTTCATTCTTCTAAAAGGAGAGAACAGAAGACACACAGAGTGCATCTGACAAATGCACGTGCCACACATCCTGACACACTAACAAAGGTTGCAGCTAGACTTGTCAAAACAATTAAGAAGTTTTAGGCATCCAGCTAGTACCAGAATTGATGGCGTTTGGGCACCTAATTTTAACTTTTTTTTGTGAAAATTCCAGCCTACACATTGCTTTATTGCTTGTCCCATTGAGTGCAACGGGAAAACTGAGGATAGGGTTAACTACAGAAGGATTTCAAATCCGTCATAAGGTTTCCCTGTTCTTTTTTATATATCTTTTTCAATATATAAAAAGCATTATTATTATTTAGCCACCTGTGGGCAGGGGGGAACATGAACTATTTAGAATTAATTTAAGCATTAGTTCCCTTCCTCCCAAATCACACTACCTCTGTCACAGGAAGGAGCTTAACGTGAAAACGTGTTTGCTGCCAGTGGCAATTCCTGAGTCTCTCCTTTGCAGAACTTTAGCCCAAATATCAGGACAATGGCAGCTTGATACATACACAGTCCCCAGCAACATACACACAGCAAGTAGGACATGCCTCAGTGGCCTCAGACATAAAAAGAAAAAACAAGAAAAAACCAAGAAAAAAACCCCACCAATCAACAAATTCAGAGAAACCATCCAGAAAAGCCTCAGGAAAGGGAACTATTCACTTTCCATAGAGAAGCAACAGCCCAGGAGTCCCTGCCCAGTATAAACTGAATCAAAATATCCATCCCAAAGCTGAAGGAGATCTCTGAAACCTGGCAGTGTTGCACGTTGGATACTTGAAGGCACATTTGCTTTGTGTTTTGGGAGAGAAATCCAGTTACAACAACACACTGCAGCTGCAAGGCTGAGGGAAAGGAGGCAACGCATGGTATTTTTCCTCTGTTCCTGTCCTCATTTTCAAGCTTCGTGGCTGGCATGAACTGGTGATCTAAGCAGACACGTTGACATCCCTGAGTGAAATGGCACCATTTGTGGCCTCTGAGACTTTGTCCTCAAGCACCATTGCTGGTGTGTCTGTAGTGACTGCTGTAGTGTCTATGGCAGGAAGTGGATTCAAGCCCTGTGATAAGATCTGTTGGATCGTTTTCCGCAAATTAGGGTGCAGCTGGTTTTGGGTCTGGTAAAAAATTTCTAAGGCAAAAGACTTGAGGGTGCCAGTGCAAAGGTCCTCATAAAGTGGAATTGTGTACATCCGAGACATCTGCAAAAAAAGGAAAGCTGGATAAAATAACTTCTATAAAAGTCAAGAAGTTCAGCTCTTCTACAGCTACACTCCAACAGCTCCGAGTAACTTCAGACTGGAGACAAACAACACATTTCTTCATAAGTCAGATGAGTCCATTCTAAATAAGTTTAATACAAATATTTTTATGAATGATAATAAAAAAACCCCTACCCTTTGAGACTGGGCTACTCCCACAAATAACAGAACTATTTTTTCAAGGCCAGGTAGAAGAGGCCACACTGAACACGTGCATAACCCTTTTGCTCCTGCACAGTAACAACTACTGAAAGGAACTCGATGAGCCTCAGCCTAGCTTGAAGTGTAAATATTCAAAAAATCACATGATTTAGTTGTGTGAAAACTTCTGGTCTGGAAAAGCCAGGGCTGCTACAAAGCAACACAAAAAATGCACAGGGGCAGAGCTGGGACAAGGGTATTGAGTTAGGCTAGAAAAGCAGAGATTATCTGTAGGCATTTCAAATTACATCTGTCCATTCCTCCCCACCCGCTAGCAGGTGAGCCATGCTCAGCCCCTTCGCAACACACCTGGGCTACACTTGGCCAGGAAGCAGAAGTTCCAAGGTCTTTCACGTCGCATGTCTCATGCACATGTCTCATGCACTGAGAGGTGCAGTGATTTTAATCCAGCAGTTAGTACCTGGTTTTCCAAGAAGCGACGGACTTTGTAAAGGTCTGGATAATAGTCATTTCGGACTACAATCTGCAACCAGCGGATACGGATTTCTGCGTTCATGGAGTCCAGCTGAGAGGAGTAACATTCCGAGAGCTTTTTTATCACCTCTGAAGAGAGCACATACACAGAGAAAGAACTATGATCTATTTTGCTGATTTTGAGGGTCACCAGAGAATAACAATAAAATCACAGAATCACAGAATGGGTTGCATAGGAAAGGACTTTTGAAGATCATCTAGTTCAACCCCTCTGCCAAGGGCAAGTACATCCTGCACTAGATCATGTTGCTCGAAGCCCCATCCAACCTGACTTAATGTAAATGGTAAGGTCAGCCAGAGGTAGGGCTCTTTAGAATTCAATCAATTATTCCAGGAATAATTTCCTACTATCTTGACAGAGTACTCACCATGTGGCAGTGGTGACCCATCCAGCAATCTGTCCAGGAAAAGCACGGTTTGGAACGTCCTCCATTTAGTGAGGTCAACACTGCTGGCGGCAGCAACAGAGTCCAGAGGCTCTGTGGTCCAGAGTTTGAAGAGTGTCTCCACTGGTCTGGTCAGACTGGATCCCTGAGATAAGTCTGGCTCAGCTAACGGAGGTCCTGTAGCATTGAGCCAACGTTCAAACTCCAGTCCTGGAATAAGGAGCACCAAAAACGTGGAGCAGGGATCTCTGCAGGTGGTTTGGCTGCCTCAAGGTTCAGGACTTTTTCTGACACAGTTATGAGAGGTTCTAACAGCAGCAACACAACAGTCTTAACAGCCTCACTGGGATACCCTACAGAACACCTGGATGAGTGCCAGCAACATCTCTCCAAACCTAACCATGAGTTTTCTAGAGTTCAACAGTACAGCAAGTACCAGAAACACACATGCTCTTAAGGCAGCCAGGCTGACAGCATATATATTCAAACTATGCTCTGGTATTTGTGTGCATGCATTTCTCACTCAGAACTTTGAGGAAGACTGAAGAATATGGGGAAAACCTGCTTCATTTAGATAAAAACGGGGTGGTGAGAGGGCTGACTAAACTCCCCCTACCCACCAGTAAACCCCAGCAATTAAAATTTATTTATACATAAAAGTAAGTTTCTACACAAGCAGCAGAGCTTGCTTTCCAACAGAGCTCCTCTCCTTTGACCTTCTACCACCTCAGTAGTTTTCTAACCCTTGGCAATACTTCCTGTTCCATACCATCTACCCTAAAACTTCTCTCTCATGCTTCCCTTGAATATTAACCAGGCAAAAGCTAGCACATGCTGTGGTTAACTCCTTAGTCAACCAGTGGGCCAAGAAAAATACAGAGCTGTAGTCCTCTGCTGGTCTGTTTAAACTGACCAGCAGGTTCATTAACTACTTGCAAGGATGGACACATGGCAGGATAACACTAGTCTCATTTCTTCAGGCAAGTGGGCTAGCAAGCACCTAGTAGCTTACAGACCTTCCATAAATCCATAAGTTATAAGTAGGGGATATAAGGCAGAGTGAAACATTATGGAAGAGATTTTATATGTATGGGTAGGACCTTGGGAAAGTTACAGTTCTCAAAGTATGTTTTCTGTAATTAGAATAGATGAAATTTCAAAGTGGGTTCACCTTCTCCTTGCATTTGAACATGTGTAAATTCCACATGCACTGATCATTCTGTCTGCAGAGTGAAAGGTGAGTTAATGAGAAAGTTAACTGAGGGACACTCAGCTAATTAATGCCAAAATTGTCAGCAATTTAAGATGTTCTCATTCCCCAGCACAGAGGCAGTAACAATAGATTCTACCACAAACACCTGTCTGTTGCCAGAAGGTCTTGTTTGCCTTAGCATTTCCTTATGTATCCTCCAAGCCAAGCGCAAAATCTATCACCCAGGTTTCCTACAGTATTTACAGTTAACTAAGTAAATCTCTTACCTGCTTTGCTCTCAACACATTGCTCTTTCAGCTCTGGAAAAAAATTCAGGAAGGAATCCAGAAGATCTTGAGCCACGACACTGGTAAATTTGTACTTCTCAATGTAGGCCTGAAATAGTAAACAGTTTAAATTATGATTAGGAGAAACACAACTTCCTTTTGATGTAGAACCACTGCATGCAACAACAACAAAAACGAAATAGAGGCAGAAGAGTGAGAACAAATATTTGAAGCCTTTAAAAAAAAATATAATCAATAAAAATATTCTCCCTCCTTGCCCAGATGAGTGAGGCACCATAACTGCAAAAATATTGAGTAGCTGCAAATACACTGACAGCTGAGTACGCTTTATTTTTCCTTTTCAAAAACAAGTCAGTAAATGATAATTTTCTATAGGTTTTGTAAATGTGCTCCAAGGCATCAAACCTGCCCCAGCATAGGAGTGCATGCCCTTTGTCACCCTGGCTAAAAAAACACAAGCTAACACTTCTTAGCAGTGAATCAAGTCACATCAGTCCAGTCACAATCTGTGCTAGAACAGCTTTGTAATAATTGGAGCACAGAACAAGAGGTAACAAAAACATACTACCCCTCTGTATGCGGCACCTCATAAGCTCAGAATCTAAGAAATCTCCGAGAAATATGTATCTAGGTTGACAGACAGGCCCACAACATTCCTCCATCTCAAGACACACTTGTTTCAACTTTACCCCTAGCAATTAGCCGCAGAGACAAAACCTGGGGGAAATGACACAACAACAAAAAGAGCAGCTCCAAATCTCAAGAAAACACATCCTTATTCATACTCACTCTTAGGAAGGAGTCAAAGTGTCTTGGGTCACCACAGAGCTGAGACAGGTAGTAAACAAAGCAGTAGCCTTTCTCATAGGTGAAGAGGTTCATTAAATTACTGGGATTTACACCTGAAAGGAGAAGACAACCTGATATGACACACTAATGAGGACAGTGATTTCCAGCGCTTCTGAGTATACAGACCACTTAGAGATCATCAAGTCAAGACAGAGTGACTTAAAACAAGCCTCTTGTCAGTACATTTAATTTGCAGCAGTAAATTAAATGGATGCAGTCCAAACACACAGGCTGAAAAATGATAATTTTTTCACAAAATTAATCAATCATTGTAAGGTAAGTGTTAATATAGAGAGGCTGAGGGAGCTGGGGTTGTTTAGTCTGGAGAAGAGGAGGCTCAGGGGAGACCTTATCGCTCTCTACAACTCCCTGAAAGGAGGTTGTAGTCAGGTGGGAGTTGGTCTCTTCTCTCAGGCAACCAGCAGGAGGACAAGAGGGCACAGACTCAAGGTCTGCCAGGGGAGGTTTAGGTTGGATATTAGGAAGAGATTTTTTTATGGCGAGAGTCATCAGGCATTGGAATGGGCTGCCTGGGGAGGTGGTGGATTCACCATCCCTGGAGGTTTTCGAGATGAGACTGGATGTGGCACTTGGTGCCATGGTCTAGTAACCACAATAGGGTTGGACTCGATCTTTCAGGTCTTTTCCAACCTGGTTGATTCTATGATGCTATGATAATTCCCAATGGAACAAGTTGCTTCAAATCAGAGGTCACTGAAAACACATCTGGGATTTGAAAACAAATCCTTTTTTCTTTTTTCAGTGCCAAACTCAGATAATGGTCATACCACAAATTTTCAAAGATAGCAATATAAGATTATCGCTACTTGCTCCTTTTCTGAAACTTTCAACACATGCTTTTCCATTCCATTTGGTTCCAGTATCTTCTCCACTTGCATTTTAGGTTGTTTTAAATATTGTCTAGATTGAAGATTGCTTCACCCCTCCAACAGTGACCACAGAACTAGAGAACGATCAGTGAAGGTGATGCACAACTGTACTCCAGATTTGTGTATGTGGCTAATGGAATAATCAAACAGTCTCTGCACAGCTCAACTCAGAGCAAGTACCTGTGTTTACCTGCATGCTCAGTGCATACATATATAGTTCTTGCATGCATAAAGAGAGGAACATTGAATAGCACAGGATTTTATATGATGTTTCCAAATATTTTCATTATAAATTACTTTATTTTACGTATTCAGAATTCCAAACCCACAGAGCTTTCAAATCAGTTTTACACACT